TGTGTGTGAAGACGCTGCAGGCAGCGGAGCAGCGCTAATCTGTAAATGAATATTCCGAAGTGAAGTAAACTTCAACGGATTTCCCCTGCTCAGGGAGTAGGGGGCAATGGACACTGAGTAGGGACCGTGCCAATCGGAACACAGTTCATGCACGGAGCTCACTTCTAACGAGATGATGATCTGAATCAGGTGTGTTAACAAAGAGAGACGTGCAAAACATGCAGAGCAGGGGTACGCGAGGACTGGGATTGAGAACCGCTGGTCTAAAACAATTCTTACAAGTATAACACCACGTAGCTGGGCACCGCAGACAGACGCCGAACGGCACCGCCGGTGTGCCTACACTCATAGAAAATAATGTGTTCGAATTTTAAAGATGTGGTGCGACGCTGCGCTTCTCGTCCGGTGCGCGACCGCCTGAAATGCTGTTTTTTTCACCTCCGGGCCCAAACGTCTTTGTTTGGGCTTCCGAAAGCGGATGATGTCAGGAAACAGTGGTTGCAATTTACTTTTTAACTCTGTTCCTGAGCATTATAACCCCAATTTGCTATTGTGTGCTACGCATTTTACTGAGGACAGCTTCCACATCACGAGTGAGAAGTGCCGGATTTCCAAAAGCTTTTGTTGAAAGACGGAGCAAGGTGGCGTGGCAGTACTGAAACACCGTCTAAGCTGTTCGACAATCACAACGCACTGGGACAGCTAACCAATCACAACACATTTTGTTTTTCATCAAAGCCTGAACTAATCGAGCCGTTTGTGCCAGGATGGAGAGAAAGGTATTTTAATAATGTAAATTATGTGAAAAATAATGCGTTTTTCGAACCACCAAGCATGAGAGCATGTTCTAGTACACCCCCAAAACAAAATCAAGACTTTGTAAAAGAGCATAATAGGACCCCTTTAAAACAAACAAACAAAACAATTTTACTGATCCCAAACTTTTGAATAGTATTTTTTTTTCTCAAATCCAATCAATCAAAATAACATGAATGTACAAGTTAAATGCTAGTCAGAATGTGTATATAATGTAAAATGTGTAAAAAAATTACGAATAACTAAAGCTGATGTTTTTAAATTAACACTTTTAATATTTGCTTGAATTAACTGTTTTCAACTAGATCTCCCAAACACTTTCCATCTGCCATTGGTCAGGACAGACAGATAGTTCCGCCCTCAAACTCACACCATTGGCTGAGTCAGTATTGCTGTGTCAGGTTGGTCAGCATACACAAACAAACAGAGCATTGTTTTGATAGTTTGCAATGTTGGCATTGTCTCTGCATGTTAAACTATAGGAAGAAAGTATTTCAACATGGAGAAAATGCACATCATCAAGATGTTACTTACTGTAATTTACTGTTTTTCACGTTTGCAGTTAGTTCAGAATCCAGCTGCTCATCTTCTTTATGGAAAGCGCAAATATGAGAGTATCACACCAATCTTGATTTCACTACATTGGCTGCCGGTCAAATATAGAATTGATTTTAAAATTCTACTGTTTGTTTGTAAATCTCTTCAAAATCAGGCAACACAGTACTTATCTGATCTGTTACACCCTTACACTCTGTCAAGGTCACTCAGATCTGCCGATGTTGCAGGACAAGACTAAAAAACGGAGGTGATTGTGCTTTTTCTGTTATCGGTCCTAAACTATGGAATAGTCTCCCATTTCAGATCAGAACTGTACCGACCTTATCTATTTTAAGTTCACTCTCAAGACTTTAATAATATTTATTGATTTGTTGATTTTACTTTCATGAATATCACCCATTTTACAGCTTGTGTTTTATTGTTTGTAATCTTGTATTCTGTGTTCTTAACATTTTCTTCTGTATATTTTTTTGTACAGCACTTTGGTCAACTTCAGTTGTTTTTTAAATTGTGTTATATAAATAAACATTGTATTGTATTAACCCTGTCTATAAAGCACAAATGCCATATTGAGTGAAAGCCTAATACAGTACATACAATATAATACCAGTAAGAGGTAAACCACTTTCGCATGGCACATATATATATATATATATATATACTGCACTATATTGAATATAGAAAATAGCCTCACCTGGTCGACAATGACATTGGTAGCTATTGATGAGGTCTTGGCAGATGGCCCCATGAAAGCAAGGCTCAGAGCAGCATTCATTCATATATATATATATATATATATATATATATATACTGCACTATATTGAATATAGAAAATAGCCTCACCTGGTCGACAATGACATTGGTAGCCATTGATGAGGTCTTGGCAGATGGCCCCATGAAAGCAGGGCTCAGAGCAGCATTCATTCATCTCTACCTCACAGAAATCTCCAACAAAACCTGGCAGGCAGCTGAATAAAAACATTCCTCTTTTAAACATGGCACATAGAATCAGATGTTTTTATTCTCTAAAAAGCATGTCTCTTTAAAAGGTTTAACAGAATGCTACGACTTTCTGAGCCACAGCCTTGAGCCCATCAAAAAAGCAAAAATTCAAAAGGAAAAAAATATAATTAATGACAGACATATGGTCAGCTAAGCTCATGAAAGCCCTGCCACACAGATGGTGAGCAAACTGAGAAATGTCTCATTAACAGAGTTTGTTGGCATGTAGCAAAATTTCTAAATATCTCCTGGAATTATCTGCACCTTTAAAAGTCAAGTTCTGGAAAATGACACTCAGTTGACATATGGTGATTTCTGTCAGGACCACTATCATACCACTAGCACTGTCAGGACCACTAGCATACAGTTTGGATTGGCGGTATGGTTCTGTTCTGGGCAAGAACTCCCTGCGCATACGAGTCAGCTGATGCGAGCTTGACTAACGTGACCTGCCAGAACTAACGCTACGCTTGATTGCATGTGCATTCAGTGCATTCTGTAGTCATGGTGATTACACTACGCAGACTGATGATTACGAACAGATATTTTGGTATACTACAGAGCTTTGAGCGGTTCACTAGCAGTTAAAATGCAAAGACATATTTTAAAGGGTAGAAATGACAAATGTAGCTTTTTACAGTGCTTAAAAATATTAAAAACTTTAATATTATAAATCAACTAACACGGAAAGGTATAATTCAAACAAACAGGCAAATGTTTGCTCTGTCTCCACACCGGTAAAAGAGATTTCAGCTAACAAACAAAGAATAACATCTGTAAGAATAGCAATAGATATCAGGTCAAGATGAACGACACTGACAGATGTCTTCCAAAGTGTCCAGAGGTGTTCTGAAGAAACACTTCTTAAAATAGATTCTGTATAGACTAGTCAGCGGGTTCGCCTAAAGAAATAAATAAATAACCTGAATTTGTGAACAAAGATCTCACCAGAAACCATGCAAATTTATACAGCTAAAACAATATTTTGATACACATTAAAAATATGTTGGTCTTCTGTATTATCGGTTCTATTTATCATTATTTTAAAATAACTAAAATATTATTTCTTGTTTTTTTATTATTATGTTTTATTATTTATTATCACACACACACACACACACACACACACACACACACACACTCTCCAATACACTGAAGAAACCTTCCTAAAAAGCTACTTGAAAAACTATGCGCAAGTGTACCTAGGACAAAAGTTGTTTTAAACACAATGGGTGGTCACACCAAATATTGATTTGATTTAGTTAATAGAAGTTAATTATCTATTTATGACATTATTTTTGAAAGCATCCTCACTTTACAGCATTTTTAGTGCATAAACTTTTCACGGTACTGTAGCTTTGCAGGTAGGTTTCTTCAGGTGTCTCGGAGATGTTGTCGGGGTTCTTCTGGATTTATTCTGTCTTAATTTTTTCTGTTTCTTCAAGTAATTCCAGATGGACTGGATGATGGTGAGATCAGATCTCTGTGTGGAGCACTGGCTGCTGTTAGAATCCTTGTGCATACAAAAATCTTACTGAATTATTACAATTAATGGCAAAAGGAATGTCTGGAAATGTAAACTGATATTTCCTACTGACCCACTAAAGCAAAAGATAGAAATATCTGGCTTAAAACCATTTTTTGTTGGTGAAAATACTAATGGCCTAAGAATTTTGCACAGCACTGTATATTCTGATTTACTTACATCTATTCAGACTTATAACTTTATATTCTGATTTACATTTATATATTCAGATTTATAAATATATTTTCTGATTTACATATATATATATATATATATATATATTCAGACTCATAACTATATATTCAGATTTATAAATATATTTTCTGATTGACTTACAGTGGGGAAAAAAAGTATTTAGTCAGCTATAACTCCGAATGCATTCATCTGAAAGAAGAAAGTCACATACACATGAATTATCCATTTAATTACTCTAAATATCTTATTGAACAAAAGTTTTGACTCCCAAAATGTAAGTCTATGGGACTTTTCAAAGTTTTGATCATCTATTTAATGAAAATTGTAAGTCCATTCAGTTAGAAAAGATAGAGTCAGAAAACTATTCATATCAAAATATTACAAACAATATAAAAAGTTATTCTTACGCTTACTTTATAAAAATCAATATATTTTCTGATTTACATATATATATATATATATATATATATATATATATATTCAGACTCATAACTATATATTCAGATTTATAAATATATTTTCTGATTGGCGTGGCTGACTCTTAACTTTTATAAAGAATATCTCTTTGGATTTGAGACTTTAGTCTTTGCAACTTTACAGATCTTCTTTATGCACCAAGAGCTTGTAACACTCCAAAGAGAAAGGAAAACTTGAAATCGCATCATATGACCCCTTTAATAAATTTAATTCTTTCTGCTCTGATTTAAGACTTTTAAGGCCTTAATTTGTTTCCCAAAAGCATTGTAAGCATAAGTAGATCAAAGAAACCATTGCCACAATAGTCTCTACGATCAAGTTGCCTTTTCAATGCAGCCCTGGATAGGAAATGCTGTTCACAAGGCCCAAGAAATTAGAATGAGAACTGGAACAAAATGGTTAAACATCATACACATAAACACCTAAAGTTCCATCTACAGTCTTGTTTTTACCTGCATGTGAAATTGGCCCCTGGTCCATCCACACATGTCCCTCCATTGAAACACAGGGAGAAATTATGAGACATCTGCAGACACACATTCTGGTCAATCTCACAGTTCTTCCCAGTGAAACCTTCTGCACATATGCAGGCGTATTTGTCCAGAAGATCCACACAGGAGCCTCCATTAAGACAAGGACGAGTCTCACACTCCTAACATAAAAAGAAATTAGGGAAATTTACAATTAACCTTGCAAAATTCAGTTATATTAATATCTAGGTCATGAAACCATAATATTGCATAGTGAATATATGTGATGTATATCACAATATGTGAGATCATCAAAACACTTTGAAAGAATTTTAAATTTTCTCCATTCTCAATGGACGTCAGATTTAGTATCAAAATTAACCAATATCCCATGCATACTAATGATTTCTTTACACACAACCAATAATTAGAGTACATTTCAAGGACTGGTAGTCAAATGTTTACTATAAATTTTTACTGAATCACTTGTTTATTGCTTGATCGTACCATTTTCCTAGAGTACTAATACAGAAATACAGATTTTACTGCATGTGCACAGCTAAATTTAATTACATTTCTGTGATTTAAAGATGTTCATATAAAAAGGATATATGGTACATTAGTGGAGTTGATACTGTAAGTGAGTTTACAAACAGAATGGCAGATCTCGTCCTATAGTCATTACGGGAGCAAACAGCAGCTAATGATTTATTCTAAACAGCCTCTGAAGTCCTCCAAGCAGCCAAGTGTTTCGTCTCAGGGGTACATTTAAGGCCGTGCTAGGTATTAAATCAATTAGGGATAGAAGCATTTTAATCAGACACTTGTGTTTAGATGATCCTGTGGTTGTTATTCAGAAGAATAATCCCCACCATCTAAACCATGCAGGACTATATACAGTGCATATGTTCAATATCCAAGATTTACAAAATATTTACTAAAGATTTAGTTAAATTGACTAAATATGGACAATGTAATAACTTTACACATAAAATACATATACAATCTATTCTCAAAAAGCAAACAAACTTGCCATAGCATTGATAGAATTTCATAATATAATAACATGATTACTGTGTGTTAAATTAGTCTTTCGTTCCTTTCAGTTCTTGATTTTTCTCTCTTCTCAGGAGATTATGGTGCTCCATTTCCCGTTTTAAGCATCATAAAAGTCTAACATAACCTGACAATATGTCTGACCTTTCCATCCTATCATCTTTGTTGTCATTGGAAGTTTAGAATATGAAACATATTTTATTTCAGGAGATCAGGTAGAATGAAGCTTAATGTCTTTCACAGTCTCTTATGAAGTGCTTTTTGATTTCTAAGTAGTGTCATTTCTAACCAATTCAGCTTCATTGTTGTAAGAGCCACTAATGACACTAGGGAGAAATTATAAGGTGATCTTCAATACAAAGAGAGTTTAATAATTTATGCATGTCTGACAGTAAACTCATGCAACAGTAAAACTTGATCACTGCCCCATTTTGTCATATATTTTAATTCCTTCTACAAAATCTTGCACTGAAAATGAAAAGCACTCATCTACAGCTGGATATTGGACTAATATGTTTTGTCACACTTCTACGAACCAGTGATATCATGATTAGTTGTCATGGTGACCAAGGGGGCCTGGTGTTCAGCAGAAATCCTGGCATCCAGTTTATTGAGTGAGGGGACTGTGACGATTTGTTAATCTAATGAATAATTGATTTGTTAAATCAAATAAAAATTAGTGTGTCAGATTGGTCGAGACGCTACACATGCTACGATTTAGCAAAACTATACTCCAATTCAGAGAAAACAGTGTGAAAACTGAAATCAAATGATTCAAAAACCTGTCATTATGTTTTGCTTTTATAAGGCAGTGTAGAGCACAAGCAGTGAAGATGTAATATAATCTTTATTTATCACCACGCAGGTCCAGTTGAACTCGATTTGGTGACTTTTAGATGTCCCTTTAGAACACTGCTATGAACTTGAACAGCTCCCCTGCTGCAACCTGGGAATAAGTGCCTTGCTCAAGGGCACAATGGTGATGGCTGTGTATTTAAAGTGTTCCCAGTCCCTAGTCCTCTGTCCGCTGTTAAACGTCTTCCTGAGCTTGTCTCCCTTGGTTCCTGGAATTAAAGTCTTGTTAAAGTATTCTCCAGCGTCTCCTCGTTCCTCTAAGTGTATTGTGACAGAACAGCGGACCCAAAACCAAAAGTGAGCGGCGACTTTTTCCTAGCGTTTGTTTTTCCCCGTCTTTTTAAAAGTTTTTGTTTCCTGGTTTTTCCCCCCCTCGGCGATGGAAATTGCCGCTCGCGTCACCGCCCTAGCTCGCCTCGATCTCCCCTTCTACGACGCACTGGCGGCTCGTCGGGGGAGGCAGGGGGGGGGCACCCCCCCCCCCCTTTTTAGGGGGAAA